GAGAATGCAGTCTACCTCATGGGATGCAGTACGCACTGCGCCAAGATCTTCAATCTCTCGGTTTCTATCCGCGTGTGGGCCCCGAGGGTCTCTGCACAATTGTTCGGGATGGGTGCAATGTGGCCCCTGTCGCTCTTCTACCTGCTGATGGCGATTTTCGCGCGCAGCGCCTGGCTATGCAGCTCGGTGAACATCGCAGTTTGCGTCGTCATCGTCATGCTCATTTTAGTTCAGCTGCTGAGTGACGCCGCTTCGATGAAGGCCTTAACTTGGGGATAGGGGCTCTCACCAGTGACACTGGGGACTTCAATGAAATGCCCTCCCTGCCGGAGGGCTCTGGCGCCGCTCTGGTCTTCTCTCAATGCGTTACTTTTCGTCGCAATCCGGCCGTGGAGGACTGGGGCACCACCATCGACGGGGCCGTTGTCTCCACAGCGTTGACTGCGACGTCTACGGCCGTTTGTCTCCTTCCTCTGCCACGAATAAAACATCGCCCAGTTATTCTTGAAGTTTGCCTCCAGCTTTTTTCTTTTTCTTTCATAACTCTTCGCTGGAGCGTGGCCGCTCCGGTTACCATGGGACCCCGGGATTCTGCTACCGCAACAGCGTTCACCACAGTACTCACCACGGATATTGATTTGGCTTATGAGATGTGGCAGAATGTTGCTGGGCCTCCTCAATCCACAGTTGTTCGTCAGCCGTCTAGAGGCGCTTGGTCCGCCAGCGCGCGGGCGCGGGAAGCTTCGGGCCCGTGGGGGACATTCCGCCGGCAGCGGCGCGACCATCGGCACGAAACCGCAGATGGTGCATCGTCGTAGATCACCACTATTTTTGACGATGCCAACCTTGAGCGCCTGCACGATTGGAGGACCGGATCCGCACCCGCGTCGGGACTGCCAGATGGGTTAAACAGCGTGTAGCTACCATCCAACTTGCTCTGGAGCTGGGACAACATCTTGCCGCGAGGTAGAATTCTGGTTTGTATCAAGTTCGGCATTTTCCTGGCTGGCGCCCCGATTTTCTTCATTGCCTTTTACGATGTCCCTGGTCGAGGAAAAGCGGAGGTCTCCGCCGCCGCTGCGGCGAGCACCCATTGGACTTCAGCTATATTCGCGATGTACCTGTTCATCAGCCCCTGGGCCCACGGCTGCCTGAACGCATCTTGGAATTTCTTCCTACGGATGCTGGTGGGTTCGATGGGGGCCAAGCTGATTGAATTGAACATCTACACCAGGACTTCCGGGAACGATTGGCGGAATTATTGGGCGCTGCCGATCGCGGATTTCCCTCGCCTCTGGGCGCGCGCAAGGGCCGCGCTCGCGCCGAAAGGGCCGGATGTCCCCCAGGAAGAGCGCCGACCTTTTCACAGTGGTGCCCGTCATTCATCGTCTGCGGGCTCGGCGCCACGCTTCCGCTTTGAATCGCTGGCTACTTCAACGGAAACCGGACGGTTTGACAGGATCAGCTCACGGACGCAATTGCATTGACCTGCTGCGGGACATCCAGGCCCTCCTCGCCCAGGCGCGGCTCGGAGACACGGTGCCCCGGCATGCGTTGCCCATGGATTTGGAGAAGTGTTCTGACCAACTTGATATGGGGGGCCTTCACAGACTGGTTGAGCATCTTCATCGACCGCAGCGTATCCATGTCCAGAACGAAAACCAAAAGCTCACGAGTCTATTGTTTGTGGATAGCCACCCTACGGATGCATGGCTACAGGGGGTCCATATTGTTGGAGTTCCACAAGGATGTCCGCTCGCATGTGCGTTCTGCAATCTCTTACTTTGATTATTTGGCATCCTGCCGCGGCAGAGGCCGCGCCGTCGGCCATCCAGTATTCATGCTTGGGCGACAGATTTGCGATGGCGCGTTCATGGGGGGATTTGGATGCCGCGCCCACCGCCGCCCAATTGGTTGACCAGACGATCGGGCCGGCGCTCAACATCGGCAAGTGCGCGCGGGGCGTCGCGGTGCCCAAGGGGCGCCGCCATCCATCTTCTTGCGACCCTTCGCTGGCGCGAACACTTCGCAAGTCTTTCCGGCACGTGGGCGTCGATCTGATCTTGAGCCGCGGGGCCCCGGCCCTTGCGGCAGCCCGCCGGGTGGCGGCCTGCAAGGAGCGCCTGGGCATCGCCAAGTTCCTGCCACATTGTCAACGCGGCGCCTGCGCGGCGGACGCTGCGGCCGCGCCGTGGGCGGACGGCGGCTAGACTTATACCGAAACCCAAATGACGACTGCGATCTCTGTCCTGAACGGCGCCCTGATGGGTCCAGCCGAGAGTGGTGCCGCGGATTAGCGGCCCCGGCCTATGGCGCTCGCTCTTGGGTCAAGCATGCACCGCGCTCATTTTCATTGAGCAGTGATTCGCGCGATTATTGTTTTATTCCACCACCAAGTGCTATCTGGAATTATTCCCATGCCGCTCTGGGATCTTCTTTGGCGGACCAGGGATCGCATTCATTGCGGGCCTTTTCTTGCTATGGACCGGGCTTGTGACGTGCCGGGGGTTACTTGGTCTACATCTACACGTTTACGAGCGGCGTCAACGACGCGCAGCTTTCGCGTGCTAGCTGAACTTCTTTGTCGCGAAAGTCGCAGTGCAGCGTCCGGTCTTTCAAAAGCGGCGCGGTTGCATACTCGACTCCATCATTTGCGTGTTTTCATTCGCCAGTGCGTTGCCGCCGGGGAAGCCGGACGTCGCCGGAATAATTTCGCCGGCCGGGGACTGGGCTTGTCCGAAGTACGCGACGCTCGTGAACACACGTGCGAGTTGCAATTCCACTTCGGAGGTCCAGCGCTATCATCGGCAGGTTTGTAGACTGCCTTGAACATGACGCGCGCCCCGCTTCGCTGCGTAATCATGATGGGGTGCGTGCCCGATGTGGAGCTGCAGTGGGAACTGTGACCCGTCGGCCTTGGGGGCGCCCGTGCAATGCCGCTGAACGCGCTGATCTTGATCGACAGGTTCCCGGCCATGCGTTCCCTCAAGGCCTTCCTCCTCGTCTCGCTCGTTGTGGGCTTATGCCGGCGCGGCTCGGTGGCAGCGCCGCCGTCGCTCTTGAGTAGGCTCTGGCCGTGCCCGCGTATCTTTTGCGGGTGAACGCTATCGCTGCGCAGGCGCTGGCTGACCACTGGGCGGGGGGAGTTGTCGTGCTTGATATATCGCAACCCCTTTCATGACCTCTTGGAGATGTTTTTTTTTCGCGCGGCGCTGCGGCGGATCATGCCACTCGTCAGCCCTGCTGTCCGTCGCGATGGACGGCGAGGCCAGCGGCTTCCCCGGCAACCCTCTTCTTTGCAGTTCTGGCCGTCTGAGGCTTTGGTACTGTCGTGTGATGGGTCTGCTCGTCGTGATGTTGATCATGATGCTTCCGGATTGGGTCTCACGGTGGCTGCTACGTCACGGTCTTTTTTGCTAGCTGCTAGATGATTGCGTCCCTGCCAGTCTTGATGCCAGTGACTCATGTTACTTTGGACCTTCCCGCCTTGCGAACAACGTCGGGGAGATAGACGCGCTGCTTTTCATTGTATCTTGGCGCAGGAGCACGCGCATCGCCACCATCATCATCGCCCTCTCCCCGGTTCCTCGTCTTCCCCGCAGGAGATGCCGCAGGCCGTCCTCGAGTATGATTCTGAGTCTGCAGCTGGAGCGGTTCAGCGGCGCGCTCGGGCTCGGCGCAACCTTGGGCCCGTTCTGAGGACGCGCCATCTCTTTGATCAGGTTGTTCAGTTTGTGGTTTGGCGGAAAGTGGAGTCGCATGCCGGCGTGTGTCACAATGGGCGCGCCGATCATATTGCTGAATGCGGCGCAAGTGGAATCCTCGGCAACCTCGCCGACATCAGGCGGTGGGCGAGGCCATCGAGCTGACCGTTGTTTCTTTGAGGACAAGAGTCCCCCGTTCATTTCATTATGCGCGTTCGTCAACCTGACCGCTGCCGCGGTCGCGCTGCGCCTCAAGGCGGCCTTCGGGGGCTTCGCCGGCCGCTCCTTCGCTGGCGACGAGCCCTGCCGCGCGAACTGGAGCCGAGTGCAGGGCCTGGGCGCGAACGTCAAGCAGCATAACGTAAGGTTACGGCAATTTTTTCGCATCTTGATGTTCGTGATATGGTTTCCATGACTTGGCAAGAAGTTCGTTTGCCCTCTCCTCGGCCTCGGTGGCTAGTTCGTCTGGCAGCTGATCATGGTTGGGGCATCGCATGTTCGCCTCCACCACCAGCCGATCGGTTTGGATATAGTGGAGTTGTCCAGGGAAGAACTGCAGTGTTGTGGCGCCGAAGCCTGGGTCGAGTTTCAGTTCATCGTCGTAAGCTGGTCGGTCGCCGAGCTACCGCTGCACGCGCCGCCAACTGGGTCATCGCGCCCGCCTACGGGCCGCCCCGCCCCGACCAGCGGATTACCCGCGGGCTTGACTGGGGCCAGACGCTCGGCGATGACGCGGCGCTCCATGGCGATGTCAACCAGGTCGCCTCCTACGCGAGCCCCCCTCACTCCCGGCACGCGGCGCCCGCGGGGGCGCCTGCTATACTACGATGGCTGCACGTCCGACGAGGGCGCTCAGATGGGCCGCAGGTGGCGCAGAAGCCCCAGCTCTGCTGCGCCTCAACTTCGCTGAGGGCATCCCGCACCCTGGGCTCTGCGCGCACCCTCTCCACATGCCGACGGTTGTAAGAGCCTTGGAGGGGCCCTCCCACGCTGCGCACTTTGCCGCTGGTCGCCTGGCCTTCGTGAACGACGCCGAGATTCAGGAGGCCCCGACCATTTTAGATTCTACCGCGCCGAAGGTCCCCGAGGCTTTCGACATCTTCGAACGCTGGCAGAACTGGCACGCCCGACCAGAGGCTGGCTTGCTCCTGACTGCCAACGAAGCAGGGGCGCCAGGCGGAGCGCCCGAAGGAACCCGCCCCTTCGACCCGCCCGACTGCTCCCCTTCCTGCCCACCAGAAGCACGAGAGCATCGCTCTTCGACTAACTCGACGTCTGCGTCGTAGCTGCACGGAGAGCGTTGACAGCCGCCGGCGTCACCATGCTGCGATCACCGGCCGCGTGAGCGACCGCCACCTGGGGCACTTCGCCCAACTGTGTCTCGACCAGTCGTGCGACCCCATTGACGGCTGGCCCAGCTACGGCCAGATGCTCGAGACCATCAACCGCGCCATCTCCGCCGAGCACCACAAGGTCTCGCTGGAACGCCGACGCCAATGGGCCTCCTGCTTCTCGAAGTGGCCCGCCCAGCTGTGGAACATGGCCACGCCCCGCTGCAAGCGAGCTCCGCCAGCCGCGGGCTTCGATGCTGCTGGCACGCGGGCCGAGTGGGCCCCCGTCTGGAGCCCCGATGACTACGGCTCGGACGCGAAGGTCGCCAAGTGGAGGAGTGGGCCAACGGCGTCTCCTTCCCGAAGTCCGACAAGGCGCAGGACTGGATGCCCTCGTTCCAGACCCTCGCAAAAGCGTTGACCAGCGCGGCGGCGCTGCTGGCTTGGACGGCTAGTCGGCGACGGAGCTCCTGCTCATCAACGTCGCCGTGGCCTTCCTGATCAGGGAGCTGTGCGACGTCTGGCTGGCCACCACCCGCATGGCGGTGGAGTGTGGCGGCATCCTACCCAGGCGCGTGTCCGACGCCATCTTCGAGTGGCGTATGGTCGCCACCCCAAAGAAGGATGAGAACGAGAGCAGGCCCATCAGCGTCGCGCCCTGCCCACTTCGAGCTTGGCTCACGGCCGCGGCGACCGCCCTCCATCAGCCGACGGACTCCCAGTTCGCACGCAAGCAGGGCCTCGCCGTCATCCATGCAGCGTCGGCCTGGCTGGCCGAAGAAGCGTTGTTCGGCCTCGAGCTAGACCTGAGCAGCGCCTGCGACAACGTGGACCACGCCCTCGCCGCCGCCGGGCTTGCCGCGCAGGGCGCCCCAGAGGCGGTCATCAACGTCTCCTTGCATGCTTGGCGCGGGCCGCGCTACTGCGCCGTCAACTCCGAGGTGGCCCCCGCCCTCTGGACCCAGCGCCGGCTGCCGCAGGGCGATAGCGTCGCCCCTTGCGCTATTGTTGCGACCCTCGTGCTCTGGACGTGCTCGCCTGCGACTGGGTGGGCCTTCATGGACGACCGCCCCATCGCCTCCATGACCGAGCCCGACCTCGCCGTCGGCCTCGAGCGCACCGCGCAGTTCGACTCCGACTTCGGCTACTCCGAGAACGCCGCCAAGCGCTAGAAGTGGTCGGCGGCGGCGGGTTCCAACACCATCGAGCACCCCGGCTTGCTCTGCGACCCGAGCCGCCCTGAGGTGCCCATCCAGCCTCGAGGAGTTCGGGGCAAGCTACCCGCAGCAGTTCGAGTGCTTCAGAGTTTTCCTGGAGCTGCTGATGTTCGAGAGCAGTTGCGTGCAGCATACCTCCGCCCGCTGTGGGTGTGGGCTGCGCCGTTATTGGAGCTCCCGCCGAAGATCGCGGTCGTGCTGGTCTTCCGCGCGGTCATTCGCACGCGCTGTGCCTGGCGGTGTTCGAGCCGCTGGTGGCGCCGCCGACTTCAACTACATCCACGGTTCGGGCCCGCCCTTCAGGCGATGAACGCGATTCGCTCGGTGAGGCTGCTGCCCAGCAAGCACTTCGAGCGCGCCTTGACTAGCTACTTCGAGGAGCTGGGCCTGGAGCGCTTGGGCCATGACCCCGAGTGGGGCATCAGGCTGGGGGTCGACATGGAGGGCGGCCCGAGGATCGCGAGCGCGACGGCAGCCTGCCGAGGTCGTGGTGCCACGCTCTGGACGGCCAGCAGCGAGGCGCAGCATGCCGTCAGGGTCGTCGCGAGAGTGCGGTGCTTTCAAAGCATCCCGCACTCCCGCGACGATAGGGAAGGAGTCGAGGACGTCGACGTGGAGGTCCTTAGTACTGCGACGTGGCGCGCGTTCGTGGCCACCCTCTCGCAGGAGGACCGCCAGTGACTGAACGTCTTCATGGGCGGGGCTACCCAGACGCGGACAAGGACTGCGAGTCGCTCCGCGCGTAGTCGGAGCTGCCGTTTCTGCGACCACCCACTGCCCTCAGTTCGCCCCTATTGGCAGGAGTGCCCGCACTTTGCAGATGCACGAGAGCGACTCCGAGTCGAGCTTCGCCTTCCAGAGGGTTTCTGGCACGACCAGCCACGAGTGACTTCGAAGAGCAGCTGGATTACTCGAGCAGCGGCACCTACTTTGACGAGGCGTGCCGTGATGCAAGTGGCGGCTGTTCGCCTGGATCTACGTCTCGTTGAGGAGAACTCCGAAGCCGTTCCTCGGCGAGTTCTTCATTGAGTGGATCTTCCTGTCGTTCAACCCAGGGTCAGGTTACGTCAGTCACCATCTCTCGCAAACAGTACAGAAACAGCCCGATTGTGCACAAGCTCGTGCCGGAAGAAGTCAAGCCCATGCTCCCCTGGAACGGGCAGCCGCGGCCCTTCCCAGAGCCCACCACGGCGCTCGAGCAGCTCCGGCCCCACGGGAAGAGGAAGAAGGTGCAGAGCAGTAATTGAGATTTCTCCCGGGGGCAGCGCTGCGCCCCTCAATTTTTCATTATGTATCATAGTCGCAGGCCGATGTGGCTTGAATCGCGGCGCACAACGCTCGGTCCCGAATCGAATGGCGGCGCGAGGCGGTGCGCCTCAGGGCCAGTCTTGACTCAAGTCCAGGGCGACCGCCCGTTGGGATTCGCAGCCCGTGGAAGCAGTCCTGGCTCAAATAGCAAGCAGTCCTGTACTCTGTGGGCACATGACTCCCCCGAGTCGTGGCTCGCTGATGCGCGGTCGTCTGGCACGCTGGACAATGCAAGGCGTGCGTATGCAACGATATTAGTCAACATGCAATACTTCGCAGGCTTGCAGACAGGGCATTGCACGAATGGGTTTCGCGTGCGGCCACAAATTTGAGATGTCGCAAACTCACATTTTGGCGGCCTCGCCTGGGCAGGTCGCCTCTTGGGCGAACATTCCCCAGCCATCCTCGATCGCCTCCCTCCCACAGCTCTTGACATTCCGCCTCGCCTCCCCTCTCTCCTTTCGCGCCAACAGCCCGGGCACCGTCGCCGCCTGGGTGCGAGTGCCCGGCCTTATCTTGCAGCGCGCCGCCGTGCCAAGGCGGTTCCAGTCCGAAGGGAAAACAGCATGGTTATTTATCCATTTGTTTTTTCACGACTGGCTTCCAGACGCTGGATTCCCCCCCCTTGCGGTGCCCCAGCCCTAGCGGCTCAATCCAACGATTTCTACGTGGGCCAGCGGCACCCACATGCCGTTTTCTGCCAGCGCGTGTCTCGATCTGCGACGCCTGATGCCTTCCAGCGCGGATGCATCGATTGCGTATTCTCGGCTGGAACCCGCAGAGTTGCGCGGGTGACCGACAGGAGGAACCGGCTTCGGAACTTCGGAACTCCGACGCCGTGTTGTTGGCAGGCACGCAGTCCAGCGACTACTGCCAGACCTACACAGGTGTGCAAGTTTTTCGTCGACGTGTAGCAGGACGGCTATACCTAGAAGCGCCCTGCGCCCCGTGCCAGCACGCGAATTCGAGTTGCGGAGATGCCATTGTGCTGGGCGCGGGCTTCGCAGAGCAGCATATCGTCTCAACCTGGCGTTCGCCAGGCACAGCTCTCGGGAGGGCGGCGGCAGTGAGAGTGAGGCGAGGGCGACAATATTTGACCCTGACATCGCTCTACTTTCCGCCTCGTATCACTGCGATTAAGCAGAAGCGCCTGTGCATGAGTACGATCAGGATTTTTATGCGAATGGCTCAGGAATAGCTTGAGACAGTTGCCAACACGTTCGGCTCCGTTCTTTTCCTGATTTGAATGACGGGATGGGTCTTCAGAAGATGGGAGTGGGAACGGTGCGAGTTGAATACATGGCTGTCGGGGTCCGGACATTGGAGCGATTTGAGGACGGAGCAGGAATTCTTGTTCGCCAACTTCTAGAGGGGCAGCGGCTGGTGGCAGGCAACGCGATTGGAGGCCGCAGCTCGCCTACATGTTTCAGTGACACGTATAGTTCAAGGACTGACTACATGAGCTACCCTGTTGACATGGAACCGCTGTTTTATTCGCGTAACACTCATCCACGGATCGGTGCCTGAGCCCAACTCCAGCGAGGAGCTGCACCGCGCGATCATTTTCCCATTGTGTGCATGTTAGAGTGCGCGAAGCACTCCCCGACACCACCGCCACCTCCTCAACGCCGTCGGGACCGCGACGCTCTCGTGATGGCGCGCAGGCGGGGGGTGCACAATAATGGCATTCTGGAACGACTGCGACTTCCTATGGATGGAAGTGATTCCCGTTGTATGCGAGATAGTGCCTCACCAGATGAGATTTTCGAGACGATCGAGAAGCGCGTGGCGCAAGCTGGCGAGTAATTCTTTACACCGGGCTCACGGGCACCACCATGTGAGGGTCACGCGGAGCACGGCGCGGAGCGCCAGCATCTTCTTTTTCAGCGAGTACAGATTCGAGAGGGCAAGCACGGGGCCACGATAGAGGAGGCCAATGCCAGTGATGATCAGTTGAGATCGCTATCGAAGCAGTTGAAGCATGCTCGGAGGCGGCTCCAACGACACCGTCAGCAGCAGTACCGGGCGGAGGCCAACGAGATGTGGAGGCACAGGCGCATGGCCAAGGCCAGGGCGCTCACCAGGCTTGCGGCGCGCATGAGGATCGGTCCGAAGAAGAGGGGCGGCGCGCTGATCAGGCTGGCCCCACTTCCTGCATGTGTTTTCTGCCCGAGCCTCGCAAGGACACCCCGCAGTACCAGGGTCTTGGGGCCTCAGAGGGGCCCCCCAGCATGGACGCGTTCACGTCTTTGGTCCACGTGGGCCTCGCCAGTATCAGGATGCACCAGCAGACGCCTCTTTACTGGCGCGCTTGCTCGGCCTGCGGGCCGATGAAGTCGGGTCTCTTGAGTCCTCGAGGTCGAATTGTCCACATCCTGCCATCGTTCAGTAAGGGCTATATTTGGCGCCGTCTTCGGGGAGAACCTACGGTGATGGATCGCGGTTTCGTGAAAGGTCGTCGTCGCGAGGAAGCAGTTCTTTGTTCCCAGCTAGTTAGTCGTCGCTTACGAGAGGGAGGATGGACACATGCAGCATGTTTGAAGGATTTAAGCAACGCTTTCGGCAGTGCAGATCACAATGCGCTGGGCCAGGTGACTGAGCTTCACGCGAAGCCAGAGGACCATACGCTGTGTAGACAGCGGTTTCGCCAGAGCTTGATTCAGTTCGAAGCCTCCGACGAGCTGCTCGTTGCGCGGCCGTCGCAAGGGGGATGCATGGGCGACCCTTTTATTGTATCGGCTTTCCTGGGGGCTTGTAATTTTCCGATTCTGTCGCGGGGAAGGGAGGGGCCTCGGGACCTGCAATCAAACATTTTGGTTGGAGAGTGAAAGGGGTGGAAAGTGAATGCGTCTTTTCAGAAATGCGCGGGTGACTTGAATAAGATTGGCATTGCAGATCCAGCTGACTTGCTTGCCTCGTTTTTAGAGAAGCTAGTGGACGTGGGCCGGGACCTACCGGCAGCCTTGTCCGCGCATGGATGTGCGCAGAACGCCTCCAAGCAGGAGTTCCTTGTCCATTTTGCCACCAGGGTCGTCTTAGTTGTGCCAGGCTTAGAGCAGGTGATCTTGTCTGGCAGGGGGCTACTCGGGAGGAAGCGCGATATTTGGGGCCTTATATTAACATGCGAGGCCCGGCTAGGCCTGAGGTGGTTCGTCGCTGCGCAGTTTCTCGCTCTGGTCTGCATTTTTTGTTGTTCCCTCTCTCTCTCTCTCTCTCTCTCTCTCTCTCTTTTTTTTTCTCTCTCTCTCTCTCTCTCTCTCTCTCTCTCTCTCTCTCTCTCTCTCTCTCGGGAATGTGGAAGCTGACGGGATTGGCGAGGAGGTGTGGAAGAAGTCTTTGTTCGAAACGCGCCGTTGTCTGGCCTGGGAAGTCTGTCCTTTCAAAGCTCGGATTACGCGATCCTGGACTCGCGTTTGGGACGTCTTGGGAGCGCAACAATGGGGGGACGGGCGGCTAATTGCAAAGGGGGGGGGGGGGGGGGGGGGGGGGCGCATCGCGAGCCTTTCAAATAAAGAGGTCTTGTTTTTTTTTCCCTGGGAGATGCTGCACTCGGAGAAAGAGATGGGAACCCGGAGGTTCAAACTTTATCAGTCCTGGGTTCGCCAGCCCGATGACCGCAGCCAAGTTTTAGTTGCCCTCTTCGGGAAGTTTGAGTTTGACGACGGGCCTCAACTCAATGCCGCAGGTCGCTCGTCCAGTTTAGCCTCCCCGTGGTTGCGCCGGATGTCGGTGGATCTATCTTACGCCGCGTCCAAGATGCCAGTTTGCCTTGCATGTCCATCGAGCCGTTCGCTGAGAATTGAGCCTTGATTGTGGAGAAGGACGCAGTGGAGGATTTGTGCTTGGTCGATGTCGCAGAACTGCGAAGTCGAGGGTTCGGAAGGCAGATGCCGTCTCCGGGCTGGCAGGGCCCGCTGCAGCCACCGTTTGATGTTTCGCCTGGGGAGCGAGACCCATCGGATTGCTTCATATGCATGCACGGTAAAAATGGAGTCGAAGGTGGGGCCACGTTCTTCAAGGGGGTGGGCTTATTTATCTCATGCCAGACCAGCTCACGATGTTCGAAACCTCTATTACGTGATCACGCCGAAGAGAATATATATATATATATATATATATATATATATATATATATATATATATATCAGTTGTCGTCAAACGTTCGCAACGCAAGCAACAGCAGCAAAGCGCTTGAAGAGGGCCGTGGCGAGGGTTTACTGTCAGCACGAAGCAGCACCTACGTTACTACCGCTCAAACCTCACTTCGTTGCCTTTGTTGTGAGTACGAAGGGGGGTCCCTGGAAGACCTCTGTAGCCATCTCCAGCCGAGCCACTTACCAGGCGTGATTGGACCGACACCTCCAGGGCCTCCGCAGCCCGAAGGAGATGCCCGAAGGAGCCGCCGCCGACATGGACGCCGAGCCGAAGCTCAACATGCAATCGTGGTGCAGCTGTCTTATCAACGCTGGCGGAGCCAAGGTGAAGGGTGAGGGAGGTGACGGGATCGGGGCGAAGGCCAAGAAGGCCCGCCAGACCGCCGACGAGGACATCCCGGTCCCAATCGTGAAGCTAGTGCTCACCAACACCGGGGACATCGGGGACATGGGCGCGATCCTCTACGCCAAGTTCGAGCTCCCCGTCAGCGCGCCGCTTATCGCGGTCACGCAGGGCGCAGGGGAGAAGTGCAACGACGAGGCGACGGAGCTCAAAGAGAAAAAGCGCGCGGGAGAGACGGTCGACCACAAGAGCAGGGGACTAGCACACCTTCAGATCTTCATGGCGGCGTTCGGCCACGCAGCGACGAGGACCCCGGCGACGGGGGCCAAGCGGGCCGAGGAGGCCAAGCTAACATTGGCGATGTTTGACGTTTTCAACAACGAGCTGGCGAACTACGACAGCCCAGCTCAAGTGGGACAGCAGGTCGGATACTCCAGGGTGAAGACGCACAACAAAGAGGAGAACGCCGCGCAGATGTGCACCTGGCTGTGGTACGTGAAGCCCCGCCACAAGCACGCGGCCGCGGTGCAGGAGTGGCTCGAGCAGCTGGCGCAGTTCGAGGGCGAGAAGGAGCTGCGCAGCGGGCCGCCTCGAGGCCCCCTGGAGCGCAAGCTGAGCAAGTCCATCGACGACCGAAACAGGCGGTAGGTAGGATCCCGCAGGCTCTCCAGGCCAGTTCGAGGCTCGCTGATTCAATGTCTCGGGGTTTGATTTCTCTCCCCACCCCCCCTCGGGCCCTGAGCCTCCTCCCCCTGCTCCTCCTCCATCGAATCCCAGTTTTGGTGTTCAGCAGTTTGAACCCGACCCCCAGCTTTTTGAAGAAATTCCGACAGTCGACGTCCCTCGGATGCCTCGTGGTAGGGGGGGGGGGCGGGGCCAGAACGGCCGCTCGAGAGGTAGAGGTTCCAGCTCGGGAAGGGGTCCGCGTGCCTGTGGCCAGCTGCGCCCTCATGGGGTTCATCGCCTCGGGTGCTCGCTGGCGGGGCCCGTGCGGCATCTTGTCGAGCGTGGAATGCATTTATAATTCAGTAAAGCCGTCGGCTTCGTAGGCTAAGCCACCCCAGGGCCCAACCCGAGGGCAGTTTAGAGGTTTCGTTTTCTCGCGGAGCAGCGGTTCCTATCGAGATTCGTTTGCTTTCTGCTTCCCTTTGGAACTGGACCCCATGAGCTAGAAAGAAAGAAGAACAAGTTCCCCAGCCAGTACCCTCAGCGTAAAGGGGCTGGGCCACCTTAGGGCCTCTCTGGAGGTTGTTCCCTCCCCCCCCCCCAAGGGCTTAGGCGACCCGTCCTCCTTCTCCTCTTCCTCCTCTTCCTCCTCCTCCTCCTCTCCCTCCTCCTCCTCCTCCTCCCCCTCCTCCTGCCCTCCTCCTCTATCTCCTGCTCCCCCTCCCCCTCCCCTTCTTCCTCCTCCTCCTCCTCCTCCTCCTCCTCCTCCTCCTCCTCTTCCTCCTCCTCCTCCTCCTCCTCCTCCTCCTCCTCCTCCTCCTCCTCCTCCTCCTCCTCCTCCTCCTTCCTCGGGTCGCATACGGCCCCGGGAGAAAATGTGCAGGCCTCTCTTGAGGCATCCTGGGCCACGCGGGCCGCCGCGTTGTCGTGCTCAGTGCCTCCAGCGGCGCTGGTGTCTCGGGGGGCGTGCAAGAGTGGGGGTACTAAGGGTCAGTATCGTTAAACCGATCCCAGTCCCAATCCCCACTCACATCTCGAGCGCTACCGCCTCACCACTTCAGTTGGGGATAGGATCATCGAAACCCGAAGAGAGCAGCCCATATCCCCATCAGAGGGGGGTCAATCGGTCAGTGGGGCCCAGCCCACGTTGGTGGGGATGGGGATCGGTTAAACGATGCTCAGAGGGTGTGAAGGTGTCATGGGGCCATGAGATCCCCCAGTCTCCAAGGCACCTTCTTCTTATTCCTCGTCTCGTGCTTATCCAGCCAATTCGTTTGCACGTTTCCCGAGCTTTTATTCGTCTTGTACATTATTGTTAGTTTTCGTCTTCGTCGTTTTCTTCCTGTCACACGCGTCAAGAAGCCCGGTTTTCTCCACGCCCGCGTCGTTGTTGCATCGGCGGTGCGGCGCGATCTTCCGACACCTGCCGGGGACCCATGAAGGCGGCTTCGTGGAAGGAGGAGGAGGTCAAGCACGTAGAGGAGAACGTGGAGGTCGAGGACGGGGGTGAGGGAAGGAGGACGAGGAGGAAGACGCGGAGGTGGAGAAGGAGGTGGACCTGGAACGGGGGCGACGAGGAGAGCGAGGACGAGATGGAGGAGGAGGAGGAGGAGGAGGAGGGGGGGAGGGCGAAGATGAGGAGGAGGAGGATGGCGCAGAGGAGGAGGAGGAGGAGGAGGGCCAGGGCGAGGAGGTCATCGTAGATGTGGAAGACGAAAAGGGCGAGGACGACGGGTGGAAAGGGAGGGCTGGCTGGCCTGGAGGGAGGCCTTCTGGGACACCATGCGCGAGGCCTGGGGCGACTTCGAGCCGCACCAGCTGGGCAGGCCACGACCGTCTCGGTCCTGCCTGTGCCCCTTCAGGTCCTCCCTGGTCCGTCCCTCCCCCCACCGCCCCACCCTCCATTTCTCCTCCCCCATGTCCCCCACCTCCTCCTCCGCCTTCCCTCACCTCTTCCGTTCGTCCCTCATCCGCGTCTCCCTCCCCGCCTTCCTTATCTTTCTCCTCCCGTTGTCTTCGTTGTTGGCGGTATTCGACAGCTGTCGACGGCTTCGAGCAATGGTCTTTGTCTTCCGACGTGCGGTTCTACCCCTTCCCGTTTTCGCCCCAGGTTGTCATGGCCGACATCGGTGCCCAATGAGTTCCAACGATGTTCGTTGATCTTTCAGTTTTGCCCTGCGACCTCGGGCACTTCCTGAGGCCCTCGCACCGCCTTAAAAGGCCTTTCCCGTCCCTCCGTCCCACTGACCCCCTCTCCCTTTTCCTTTCCCCAGTCGAGCTACCCTCGCCGGTCTCGTGTCCCCCGTCCCGCTTTCCCCGTCTCCCCTCCTCTCCCACCTCGATGTCTTCCTCCTGTACGCTGCCGAGATCTGTCCAACCACGCCCACTCTGATCTCCTCAAGGTTCCAAGATGTTTCCCAAACTGCGCTCGGGTTCCTTGTGCCCAACAAGTTTCATCTTGTCGAGTTCGGGTGGTCTGAAGAATCGCGCACCCGTCGTGCAAGGCAATGGCAAACTCGGTATTGATTACGTTTTCTTCTGGCTAAGCTCCGCCATCGTTTTACGCGCAACTGGTGTATTGAGCCCGCAGCGCGCGAGTCGCAGCGGGTCCCCCAGGGGAGGAAACTTGCGCGAACATTTAGCTATCAAGGGTTCTCGTGGACCAAGGGATGGTCTCGACACGAGTGTGGCAGAACGCTTGGAGCCCTGTGCACTGGGCTCTCTGGGGGCCTTCTCATGGTCTCTTGTGGCGAACTGGCCGTTTGGGGGAATCCTTGGGCCGTCATGGGCGGGTCCTCGGCGGCTGTCCCGGAGCCCCCCCCCCGAGGCCTGGTCTGCATTGCGATTGTAGGCGCCCTTCCACGGTTACGTTGGTCTTCTTGGAATCACTTATCGACGACGCTAACGGCGAACCCCCCCTTCCGTTTGGATCAGCCCATGCCAAACGTTGGGCCGAAGTCTGGCCATGGGTTTCAGCTATTTGTTCCTCCATCCGTTGTGGAACCTCTTGGGGGAACACTTGGGAGAGTAAGAGGAAAGGAGGTGAGGTGGAGATGCTAGAGAAAGGGGAGAAGAAAGAGGAGCAGGCGGAGGAGGGCCAGTACAAGCCCAAGACGCACCAACGATCTTGCAACAAAAACTTTCCTCCTAAGTTCCCTCTCCGTAGGGCCTACAATAATGAACTGTCATGGCGACATGTGTCCGATTGAAAGACAGCCGTCTGAGATTTTGTCACCCGTGCCAAAGCATTGCTCCTGGGATTTCAGCGCCGCGATTCAACGTGACCTGACAATCCCAAATCGTGCCAGATCACCCTTCCTTAGACTTCAACCATACGGATCTCTGAAAGTATTGCAAACGTTGGGCCCGAATGCGCGTGGCGCTAAGGCGATAACCACATGTTGAACACCAGCCGCATCCATCTTAAAATCTAGTGCGAGCTTTTGACACTACTTTGCGCGTCGCTTGGGCGACAGCCACATTTGGAACACCAGCCGCCCTCCAACCTTACAAGTTCTGCAAACTGTTGAAACGAATGTGCGCGGCGCTAGGGCGACAGCCACAGTTTGATATTCAGCCGCCCTCCATCCGTGCAGCTATTGCAAATTCTTGCAACGAGTCTGCAATGCGCTAAGGCGACACCCACATTTTGAAAACGGCCCGCCCTCTATCTAAGAAGTGGTTGCCTACTCAAGTCTGGATCATAAATAGTGAGGACGTCTCAGGGGAAACGCCCGCCCCGCCCTACGCACAGATCTGGAAATGCGACAGGGAGAATCTATTTTAAGGGAAAAAATAGGGAATGAGGAGAAGGAAAAAGAGTATGCCCCTTGAGGCCCTATTGGGGCTTCCTGGGGGCTTATCTTGTGGCCTCTCTTGGGTTTCTTGGAGCCTGATTTGGACCTCTTGTGGGCCTCCTGGGCCTCCAGGGGCTTCTTGGGGCGAGTCATCTTGGGGCGGAGGGCGCGAGATGTCAGTTCGAGTTGTCGGGCCGTCTTGGGGCGTCTTGGACCGTCTTGTGGCCCCCTTGGGCTGTCCGGAGGCCCTTTTGGGGGCCTTTTGGGTCGTCTTGGGATGTGTTTGGGGCCTCTTATGCCTTCTCGGAGCGTCGGAAGCCCCATATGATTCGCTGACCTTTCGAGGCCCTCTTGGAGAGGTCCCTCGAAGCCCCAATTGCTGGGTCTTGGGAGCTGCTTGGAACGTCTGAAGTCCGTCGTTGGCGTCTTGTTGCGCTTGTGAGACGTCTCGGGACCTCGTGGACTGTCTTGGAGGCCTCTTTGATCCCTCTTGGCCCGTCTTGGGGCCATCTTACCTCCAGAAAAACCACGCGACAACACGCGCCAGCACGCGAGACCCCCAAAGAAACCTGGCAATGTGGGGTCTGGGCCTGCAGATATCAAATTGGCAGGATTGAGGACGGAGGGTTCGAGGGTCTTGAGGACACTCAAACTCATGCCTCGCGGCACGGTGGCGGATACGACGAAAGTGACACATATGAAGAGCGCGTCATGGCACGGTTGATCTAGGCCACCATTGAATGCATGCTTGGCCGGAGCATCAGGTTCATGCTGCTGGTACGAGCTGTTGTGGAGGCGGTCTTCGAGGTGGGGACTTAGTATCCACAGGTGGTGGGGCTGTGGATCAATATTTCGTCTCCAGTCTAGTTTGATCCCGGAGTCGGCATGTGACCTCAATATATTGAGCTGTAGCTTAGTGCTGGTCTGCAGAGTGAGCACTCCACCAGAAGCATGCTGCATTGCGGGGGGCATCGCCAGTGCAAATAGCTACATCCGCTGCAGTCACGACATATGTTGAGTTCGTTAACCGTGTTCGTGGACCACCGCGGTGGAGAAGAGTATCTGACAATATTTGCCAGCATGGGCCCTAAGCAGTGAGATGTTGCACCGTTACGCTGTGGATGTTTGAGCCATGTAGTATGATCTATGTGGTGTGAGCTGTTCGGTGACAGCTATGCGTCGCAAGATACGTGGCGCAACTTATGTTGTGTGAACTATGCGGAGTAAACTGTGTGCAGAGTTCTACGCAGTCTGAGTTGCGGAGGCAGCTGTGTGGTGCAATGCACCGCTCACGAACGACAGCGTGGCGAAACCTCGGCGGACCCACCCAGCGCCCCCGGGCGCCCCCGAGGCGCCCGGCGGGCGACACCGTGGCGGAGCCCCGGCGGCGCCACCCCCAGCACAGGGGGCGCCCACGAGGCCCCCCAGGCCCGGCAGCGTGGAGAAGCAGCGCCTCCGCGGACTCGCCCCCGAGGCGCCCACGGGCGGCAGCGTGGAGAGACCTCGGCGGACCCGCCCAGCGCACGGGGCGCCCACGAGGGTGCCCTGCGGGCGGCACCGTGCGGCAGGACCTCGGCGGAGCCGCCCAGCGCAAGAGGGGCGCCCGCGAGGGCGCCCGGCGGGCGGCAGCGTGGCGAGTCCCGGGCAGGCCCATCGGAACGCTGCTGGGCAGGGGCCGCGAGTGGAGCAGAACCCCGCCGAGCAAGGAATCACGAGAGGCAGGACGTGGCCTCGCGCATGCCCCCCGTCTTCGCAGTGGGGACATCACCGATCTGCGCGGTCTGGCTTGATGCGCCTATGCCCGGGCCTCTTGACTCCTGGGTCCGCTCCCAAGGGGTTAATAGGGGCCCTTCTAATGCTACTCTTCCGGGGGAGCGAATGTCGAGTGGATCGAGAGGCGTATCGAGCGTCGTTCCGAGAGCCGCGCGCGACACGACCCCCCCGAGCCAGAGCTGCCTGGCACGCATCCTGGGCGAAGGACAGTTTTGTTTGACCCGAGTCGGAAATGTATTGCGCGTGGCGTTTCATCACTGCGCCATTCAGTTGCACGCTCCCTGCTGGGATGATTTCCTGCGTCACTTCCACTTGCCGCCCGGTAGCCGTCAATTCTCTCCGCGCTGGGGACTTGATGTCGCAGATTGCTGCTCTGCGCCAGTGCCCGATCCCGAGCGATGTGAGCTTTTTGTTCGTTAGTTGACATGCCGAGGCATCTGCAGTACAGCTTCACGAGGGCCCAGGCCATCCCCGGCTGTGGAGGGGCGTTCTGACGTTCTCCGTGGTTGGGCTCTCCACCTTGGGGTGTTCTCCCTCTTGGGTATATAGCTCCATGTAGCCCAGGGCTCGAGCTCAATGGTGTGTTCTGCGAGTTCGTGGGCCATTGTCGTCTTGCTGTCGTTTTCCAGAGAATGCAGAACGAAGACGGAAAGAAGGAAAACGAAACCAAAACGAAAACGAACAGCATATGAAGCCCATATGAAGCCTTGGGCCTTCTGAAGGAAGCTAATTTTCTTGACTCACGCTCTTGTGGCCATGTTTCGATCGACTGCATTTGCGGCGACCAGACGAAGATCATCGAGGAAGGGACAACTGAATGAACAAGCTTCGGGAAATCCGCGCGGATTTCTCGGGTCTGCGCTGAGCCCCCTGGCGTCGGATCCAGCGCCGGTCCAAGCAATCCGCGATAAGCTCAGCAAGTTTATCTTGATGTTGTATTCTTCTTCTTCCAGGGCCTCTTTGGGCGGTCTTGGGCCGCTCTTTGTCGCTTGCGACCGTCGTGGAGCACTCCTGGGTCTAGGGCCCCCTTGGGCAATCAGGGAGCCGCCTTGAGGCCTCAAGACTCAAGAACCCATCGGAAGCGAAAAGTCAAGAAGGCACACTGCATTGGAAAGGACAATAGTTTTGAAGGTCTTGTTTGCCCTCGGGGAGGCCTCCGTGGGAGGCTCGGAGGGCACCTGGTGTCAATAGAACCCCCGTTAGACCGAGTTATGGTACGTTGTCTTGTGCATTAGCACAGCTCAGCTGTTTCAGCATAGCAGGCGTGTGGCAAGCAGTTGTTTCACATGTGTCTGTACCATTGCCATTTGATGTTCAGGGGCCCCTGAGTCAATTAAAAGGTTGCGTATCTTACAAGTTGATATTAAGGCCTCAATTTGCCCTCCCATCTCCAGGTCGGGAACATTGAAAAACCACATCTAGAACCTGTACCCCTCAACCCGGAATGCGGGTCTTCGGGTTGGGTTGGGGTGGTTTGGTAGGTTGTCAAGGCCACAAAGAAGAACAACCAAATTTATGAATAACGGAAAATCTTCTTTCCGGTTAGGCAATCTCTCTCGGGAAGGTGACTTCAGCATCGGCCCGATCGGCCGTAGCCGACAGCCGGCTTGATCAGGCACAATCCCGCTTTATCCCGCCCAAGCCGGCTTAACCAATCCAGTGTCTTCTGGCCTAGTCTTGGGCTTCATTTGGTCAAATGGTGAATTAAATCAGGCTTCCTAGCCCATTCGTTCCTAATCCTGCTCAATTCCAGGCCTAAGATGGCCCGGTGGGTTTTGAATCCCTGTCAAGTCCAGGATTGATCGTTCTTAAGACAACCTCCTAGGTGTTGCCTCCCAACCCTGGATATGGACATGTTTCCCACGCTCTTCCTGCCCCCCCAATGCCTCGCAGTCTTCGACGTTCGAGGGAGGCCCCCTTGGCCGTCAGGTAATCTGGGAATTCTGGAGTGGTGCCCATCACCCCCCTGGGCTGGCACACCTCAGCCGAAGGGCGGGTCTAGGGCCACAGGTGGCGTCCCCACCAGCAGCGCTCGTTGGTGGGGCATGCTTCCCGCCATCCTCCTCCGTCTCCTCCTCCTCCTCCTCCTCCACTTCCTCCTCATCCTCATCCTCATCCTCATCCTCATCCTCATCCTCATCCTATTCATTCTCCTCCTCCTCCTCGTTACATTCGTACCTCCCAGGCTAATCCCTAGGGTAATCCTTCTCCTCCTCCTCCTCCTCCTCCTCCTCCTCAACCTCCTCCTGCTCCTCCTTCTCCTCCTCCCCCGTATCAGCCTTCTCCCCCTCGACATTCCTGGGCCCCCTCCCTGCGCCGAGGCCCTGAGGCTTGGCGGCTGGGAGCTGGGCGACGTGGCCAACGTGGCCGGCACCTTTGCGCGGGCGGCACCGCAGGCCGGGTCCGACGCGCCCGGGCGCAGCAGGAAGCCCACGGCCACGGTCTGGCGTTCTGTCGGGCGTGTCCCCCTACAGGGAGATGTTCGACGAAAAGTTAAAGATACCCCAATCATACCCCAAGAAGGCCAAATAATAATCGAAAAATAGTCCCCAGACTATTTTTGTACTATTTCGTAAATTTTTTGGGTATTTTTTATTTGTCGTCGGAAATCCCCCTGTAGGGGGACAGGCCCGAGTTAAATCTGGCGGACTCTTCTGGCAAATCCGTCGGTCACCGAGTGCGTTCGGCTACTCGCAGAGTGCCTACAGTGGGGGCGCGCATCAAGAAACCACATGCTTTTCGTCAGAGTATCCTGGGTTTCTTCCGCTCCGCGCGCTGTGCGGCGACTTCCCGCGGCCGTTTAACGAGCTGCTGCGTTCAAGGTGCTCCGGGTTTCCCCTCCAGTGCAATTCGTGTGCGGGTTTTCAGGGTTGGGTTTCTTGCGGGGGGTTCTTGCGGCCACGCTCGCACTGTCATTGCAGACGTCCGAACAGAAACACAGTCTTCCCATATATGATGAGTCGTACATTTCCCGCGGCGGATCCGGGCGTCTGCGAGCAGTGGAACGCGCCTGTCTGCTCGGGGGAGACAGGCCGACCTCGACATGAGCACTTTGGTTGTGGCCGCGGCCGAGATAGGTGTCGTCGGACGTCACGCCGACCCCAGTATTCCTGAGCTGGCTTTTGGTGCTCTGACGGTTGTCGGCAGGCACAAGATTACCAGCCTCGAACATATCCCTATCCCTAAGATTGACATGCCAAAAGCGAGGACAATCTTAGGGATGCGCCCTCAAAAAATAAGGGAATCCTTGAGATTGGCATCGTGATGAGGGGATGCCCAGCATAGGGATAGGGATATGTTCCAGGCTGGTAACAAGACATTCTCCAGGTTGCGTTCTCGATGTGGTTGCTGTCCCCGCAGAGAGGGCCTTGCGGGAGCCCACGCATTTGGCTCGACCGCGCAAGCACGGGCGAGCGGACAGCACCGATCCAGGCAAGAACGACGACACAATGCGGCCAAAGGCTTCCCAGAGGAGATCCGAGGCTCCGCAACATTGGAGCGGCCGTTTTTTGTCTGTTGTCAGCCTTTTGGGGCCCTTGGCGGGCCCCGGGGCCGTGCAAGAAGGTGGCCTGGTATGAAGAGCAGGCCCTATAGTTAGCAAATCATGGGAGCCTGGTGTACCCACTGAATTCCGTCTTTAGCGTCGGCTGGCGTGGAGAAGCGTCTGGGAATCGATGGCACAGCGCCGCTTTGGCGCCGGTCAGCGTCGATATGGCTTCGATCCGCAAGAGCCGACAAGATGGCACCGAGCTATAGGAAGCGGTCCAGACCTCCAGGGGTGCACGCTTCAAGCAAGCTCTGGCCCTGGCGCGCGCGCGCGAGGCGGGCCAGGAGAGGGGAGAGCGGGTGCCAGCACCGGCCAGAGAAGTGCTGCGGGCTTGCGCAACATCCGCCGACCCCTCTGAAGCCTTGTGCGTCTCGATATATTCACTTGGATCGGGCTGGAAGGGGCGCTCCCGTGCCCGTGCTCAAGAGAGAGTCGTGGTGCCTCTTGGGCACCGCTTCGAGCCCTCTGTGGATCTCTTCGGGGCCTTCAGGGCGCCTGCTGGCGGCCTCAGGGCCTCTGAGGCGCCCCGCTGACGCCCTGCTGGCCCAGTATTGGGGACCTCTCGAGCCATCCTGGAGGCGTCTCGGGCCGTTTTGGGATTCTCTGGGGCCGTCTTGAGCTCCTTTTGGAGCCTCGTGGGCCATCGTGGAGCGACCTTAACGGCCTCTTGGGCCGTCTTGGCCACTGTGAGCGCCCAAGAGAAGGGAATCGGACGATTGTTGCGTCCCGGGACCCTTGGGGAAGTGCTCGTGGAGGCCTCGTTTGACGTGTTGGACGCGCCTAGTGGACCGTCTGGAGGCCATCTTGTATCTTGAGCGTTATGGGCCGACTTGTCGGCGACCCAGAGCCTTCTTGAACCGTCTTGGGCGTCTCTGGGGCCGTCTCGGAGCCAACAAAAAGCATCAAAAGAGTTGGGATCCGCCCATGACGCGTTCCCCGGGGAGTCGTCCGGGACCAGGGATACAGGGGGGGTCAAGTTACCAGTTTGTGGTCCCTGGGGGGAGGATTAGTGGGGGGGAGCCACGTCACACAGCTGGAGACCCGCAAGGGGTCGGCGGATCTGACGAGGTTGCGGCCTGGGGATGGGGTCGACGGTTCGGGGGGCCTGCGGCTCGGAGCTGTCGAGCTGCTGGAGGTCGGGGCTCCCTCCCTCCGCATCTCCTTCATCCTCCTCGATTCGCTGGGCGGCAAATCATGGGGGCCCGTTGCGCCCCCGCAGTCTCGCCGTCGGGGTGCACCGGCGTCGGCCGTCGTGTCGTCATCGACGCGATGGCGCTGATGGCGAGCGTCGACCCGGGGGCGCCGACGCAGCGTCGTCTCGCGAGTGCCAGCAGGACGGCATGGGAGGAGCACACCAAAGCTGCCCCCGACGGCTCCCGGAGCGCCCGCGGTCCTCCCTGGCAGCGGCGCTGGAGCACCGCGGGCTCCGTGTGGCCGGTTGGGCGGACATCGGAAGCTCCGTTCAGAAGGCTGTGCACGACGTGCGATGCCTGGGTCTGCACGAACGGAGTGGGCACGGAAAGAATGGGTACAATTCCGTACAATTCCCAACAGCCGGTCTTGTTCATTTTGAACCGGACTCGTTGTCCGCGCCGCCGCGGCCTGTGTCCATTCGAGACAGAGTGCCGCCTGCCCAACAGCGGCCGCTGTTGGTTTGCGACAACATGTGCTGTTGGGCATTGTACCCATTCTTTCCGTACCCATTGCGGGCGTCCAAACGGTTGGGCGGGCATCGAAAGTTCCGTTCAAGGTTGTGCAAGACGTGCGAAGCCTGGGTATCAAAATCCGAGGGTCATTCATCGACGGGGAGTGGTGGGAGTCGGGTCGGCGAGGGAGCTGGCGAGGCGGGCGAGCCGAGAATTATGCTGACCCTGTGTTGCGCGAAGTGCAAGCATGCCAAAGGAGAACGGAATTCGGGCAGCGGCAGCGCGAAACGGAACGAGAGTGTAAGACAAGTCCGTTGTTCGAATGGCAAGGGCTTGACGCTCATCGGCGAGACAGCGGAGATGTCGGGAGCGCAGGACAAACACTAACCACAGACAAAAAATCAGAGCGAAGTCGGGGACGGGCTTTGCCGGAAATGCGCTGTGACGTGGGAGGAAGCTGTGCTTCGAGCGACATGCACGGGAGAAGATCGCAAGCGGAAAGTGGAGGTGGGAATAAAGCTGGACGCGTGCGGCGTTCAAGAGCGCTTTCTCGAGCACGGAACATCTAAAGGAGGAACAACCACAACATCATCGAAAGGCGAAGCATCTACGCATGGTGTGCGCAGATTGCGCGGACTTCGGTGTCCCTGAAATGCAAGACACGCAATTGTTGCTAACTCTCTGCGCGGCAAACGAAGTGGAGGAGGGCGGGTCGGGAGGAGGAAGGAGGAGGAGGAGGAGCAGAGGGTGGAGCACGCAGGAGAAAGAAGGGGGAGGGAGGGAGGCGGACGGAGGAAGGAAGAATATGAGGGAGGAGGAGGGGAGAAGAGGTGGGAGGGGAAGGGGGGAGGAGGAGAGAAATATGGAGGAAGAAGGGGTGAAGCAGAAGGGAGGAATTGGTGGGAGGAGGAGGGAGGAGGAGGGAGGAGGGAAGGAATAGGGTGGAGGAGGGAGGAGGCAAGGAATGGGAAGGTGGGTGCGAACGAACGGGAGTTGGGAGGGAGGCTGCAGGAACAGGTGGGGGGGGGGAGGAAAGAGGGAGGAGGAGGCGAGAGCAAAGCAATGGAGCAGCAGGGCGGGGGAGTGCTCGGAAGTCCAGGCCGCCCCTCCTTGCGACCCGGAGCCGGCGCGCGTCCCCCCTTGCTCCCCTGCACGCGCCCCCCACCCAAAGCGCGCGAGCCGCCGTCCTCGGTCGGTGCCGTGCCGCCGCTGGCCACGCCGCCGCCAACGCGGGCCGCCGCCGACGCGGGCCTGCGGCTCCGCCGCCATCGTCGTCGTCGTCGCCGTCGGTCGCCGCCGCCACCGCCGCCGCCGCTGCCGCCGCCGCCGCCGCCGTCGTCATCGTCGTCGTCGTCGTCGGTCGTCGTCGGTCGCCGTCGTCGGTCGCCGGTCGCCGTCGTCGGGGGGGGCCTGGGCGGGCGCCCAAATTTGAGCTGGTCCGAGAAGGCCGGGCGGGCGCAGGGGCGGCCCGGAGGCGCTCCTGCTGCTGGCGCGCGTCTTCTGGGACGTGTTGC